TTTTTTTTTTTTTTTTGCTATGGGGAATTTGATAAAGCATTTTTTTCCCCTGCATGTAGCCAGGAACTATTCATCCAGAAGTAAGAAATGTAGGGTGAAAAAAAAAAAAAAAAGACGTAGGGGCCAGGGATTTAGCTCAGTGGTTCCACCTTCTCACAAGCACAAGGTCCTGAGGTTGATACCCAGTACCAAAAAAAGAAAGAAAGAAAGAAAAGAAATGCAGGGTGTTAGAATGTAAAACAGTGTTCTGCCTTCTCCAGGAAGCCTAACTCCTGGCAGCTGTGAGTTTTTTGTCTTTTAGTTTGTGTGTTGGAAAGCTTGCCCCTGGCAAGATAGTCTGGCCAGTAGTGTAACAGAATTGGGAAAAATAAAATTAGGCAATTTTTGTATAGGATCTTAAATAGTATTAGTATTAATTTTTTAAAAAGTAACTGATAATCTTTTCTAGAGCGGTGCTCTAATTTATAAGCCAGGGTGATTTAAAAATGAATTTCTCTAATGGAAAGAGGTCCAGTCAACTTAATAAGCATGTGGGACCTCAGTCATAATAATGTCATTGACGCATAAAATAGGGAGGAAATGCTCATGATTCCTGACAAATACACATGTGGAATCTCAATAAAGGAGATAGTACATCTGCCTCAACAATTACTGAGTAAGTGAGTGCAAGGAAACAGTACATGCGGCCTATAGGTGTCCGTGTGCAAAGAGGGAGAGAGACTGAAAATAAGGGGAGTTAAAGGGTTGATGCACAGTTAAGATAGTTGTTCTCACTTTGGTGTCCTAGTGGGGTTTCAAAAGCAGGAAATTCTGGCTGGGCATACCTGTAAACCCAGCACTTGGGGGGCTAGGGCAGAAGGATGGCCTTGAGTTTGAGAGCACTTTGGGGTACATGGTAAGTCCAAGGGCAGCCTGAAATGTATACAAAGATCCTGTCTCAAAAAACAGAACAAAAACAAAGTAGGGAGTCCTGGTTTACGGGACCTTTCAATGGAAGGTGAACAGTGACAGCACCAGAAGGATCTTGAAACACCACTGTTGCTTGAACACTGGCTCCCTCTGTCTGATGTCCAGGAAACAGGAGCGGAGAGGAGCAGTAGTGCCATGTACCGTGGTCTGGTGTGACTAGTTGTCATAGGCTGTCCTTCATTACTAGGGTGAAATGCATGAGGCAGTTTAGCTGTAAACAGAGAAACGGATTTGGGCTCACAGTTCCAGAGGTGCAAGGTCCAAGGCCCTGTCTGGTTAGGGCCTTGCTGTGGAGCCCCAGGGGAGTGCAGCTGTCTTGTCTTCTGTCCCTTTCATGAGGTCGTCAAGACTCAGTCACGAGGGCCCCGTGCCGATGACTCGTCTAATCCTGGTAACTTTCCAAAGGCCCCCTCTAGACCCTGGGTGAGAGTCAGTGTCTCAGTGCAGTAGCACGTGGCTTTGGGTTATGCCACATGCATCACACTGCATAGTCCCTGGTCGTCAGTGCGGTCAGTTGCCCCGACGTGCTGCTTCCAGGGCTGGAGGTTTTCCTGTCTCCTTCTCCAGGTGGAAAAGAATACAGTAAGTATGAAGAGGCCATTGTTCTGATGCTTGGGGCTATAAAAGCCAAAAAGGGGGTTTCTTGATGTTACAGTGATTTTGTGTGAGTAGCGGGTCATTCAGATTCCTGTTTGTGCCTCTGAATAATTCAGATGTCCATCTTTGGGGGCTCAGTGCTGTGACAGGAAGCACAGATGCTCTGGTGACAGCACAGGGATTGGCTCTGCGTTGTGCTTCCCGGACACCTGTGCATGCTCCCCTCACAGATGCATTTTCTGCTTTGGCTCTCTGGTGTGCCATGCTGCCAGCCAGGTGCCAGGGGCGTGGAGCTCACCCCATCTCAGGCCTGTGGTCCTGTATCTGTGCTGTGTGCTGGGCTGCCCCCTGGTGGGGGAGACACGCAGCTCCAAATCCTGAGGGCCTTGGGTTCTTTTCCAGTCAGTTTTTGTTTTTCTTACCTTCTCTGTAATGACTGAATTGCCTTGCTAAGAGTTCATAAAACAGCAGTTTTCAAGCCTCGGAATTGCTTGGCTTGGAGAAGTGCTGCCCCAAGGTGTGCTGTTCTTGTTTTCTTCAGGTAGCAATGATTTACCTGCTTACCTTATTCCCCTTCCTCCTATGCTTTCTCATCCCAAACATGTCCACGTCAGGCATTCCCAGTTTTTGAAATATGGACTCGCTAGGAAGGAATGTATTTGAGTTTCACAGAATTTCTGCTTTTTGCAAAGAAGCCGGAACTGTGCCATTTGCCTTCTCTCTTCCTACAGGAAGATGTAGGTATTGATTGATGTTAGGTATTGATTCAGTTATTTTAGGGCGCGGTGTTGGATAGGGAGTCTGGTTCCCATGCCCCTTCCTCCTGGAGGGTGTTCTCAGCTCTGACCTGGCCGGGCCCTGACGGTGAACAGAAAGTGCAGGTGGCCACTAGTGGGCAGAACAGTCTGCTCAGCTGCAGCAGCTGTGAGAAGGAAAGCAGGCTGTGTCAAAAGCAGTGTGTCATAGCTGATTGAAGTACTCATGAAGCTTATTTTCAGTTTCTTAGCCTCATTTTTGGATCTGTGTAACAGTGATAAATATTTGAAAGCATTCCTATAGAGATTCTCCCCTGGGGTACTTGAAGGTAGTGCAGATTTTCCCGACTCACCCTGTGTGCCATTCTGGTAAAAAGAGAGTCCCGAGAAGTTGCATGGCTAGAGTTTTAACGCAATGTTGTCTTGATGCAGTAGCATGTGTTGTTTGCTAATATTCTGTTGAATTGAAATTTGTTTTCCGATTCCTCGTGCAGCTCCCTCCGTACAGCGGGACAGCTCTGTGTGGCACTCAGGCTGCGGATGAACTGCCTGATGGTAAGCTGGTCTCCTCCTCCCTTGCTGAGCTGGTGTGTGCCGGGTGGACAGGCTGCCGATAGACGCTGTCTGTTGGCTCAGACTTTTGGAAGCAGCAGTTCCTTCCAGCTTGGCATTCTTGTGGTGAATTGTAGTATATTTAATCCCTGGAGCTCTCTGACTGTTGGGTTTGCTTTATACCTCAGAAGGTCAGACGTTTAAGATTCAGTGAGTTCTTTTTTCCTAGCAGTTCAGTGCCGCAGTCACTTGCCATGGCTGCATGTTCTCAGGCTCTGAAGGGCTGCCAGTCTTTTTTTTTCCCCCCTACTGGTTAACAAACACAGGACCTTGAGCTTGCCAGGCAGGTGTGGCACTGCTGAGCTTCATCCCCAGCCCTCAAGGGCCATCCTGTGTTGTTGTGGATCTGATGCCTGGGCCCAGGGTGTGGGTGTGCTTTGTAAGTTAGCGCTTGCTGGGCTGGTGCTCATCCAGGTGTAGCCCTCTGCGCTGTTTCAGCTCCAGCGCCAAGAAGCCCCGGCAGTCTGGCTCACAGGCAGGGCCCTTGAGGGCTGCGGAAAAGCTGGAGGAAAGCATTTTCTTGGAAAGCCTGGGATTTGGAAGCCTTGTTTAGTGTGGTCAGACTTGAGGGGGTGTTAATCACAGTTTAGCTTTAGATATGAATTTAAGAGACTAACCAAGCACGGTAGCATCAGTTTTATAAGAAGCAGTAATACAGGGGCCCACAGAGGACAGAACAGATTTTGCAGGAGCTTAGGATGATTGATACAACAAGTGAAGCACTGGGGACCTACCACCAGCAGCTCAACCTCCCGGCTGCCTCTTCTGCTGCTGGGTCTGGCCCTGGCGCTTGCCCTGCTCCTGTGCCTGCGCGGCTCCACTCTGTCTTCTGTGCTGCGCACTTGGGTGTATGTATGCTGCACATGTGTCTGCTTGCAGGCAGACCACTGCCTTCCTTCCCGGACTTCCTTCCGATTTTCAGTCCTTGGTGTTGCGGATCCCTACCCTCATCCCTCTTGCCCCTTTTCAGTCTCTGCCTCTTGACTCTTTTTCTCCATTCTCCATTCATTCTCTTCCGTCTTAGTCCATCTTTTACTCCACTGGAAACAGCTGGGACTGTGCCACCTGCTTGCATGCTCAGTGACGTGCCCACCGGAGGGCCCTTCCCCCATGCCTCTGGTTCTCCTGCTCACGTCGCTGTCACTCTCTCTCACAGGATCTGTCCGCCCACTGTCTGGTAGTGACTTTCCCAGCCATGTCAGTTTCTGTCTGTCTGCCTGCTGCACCGTGTGCATCTGCAGTTCCGGGAATGATGTCAAACACTTTCTTGTGCTCTATCCCACCAGCACCAGCACAGCAGTCCACCAGCAGGGCAGTTCACCGTAGCGTGCACCTTTTCTACCTCTGCCTTTCCCAGGCAGTTCCGAGAGCTCCATCTCACCCCCTCCCCATCCACTCATTTCTCAGGTCCCACTGACCTCTGTAGCTGCTGACTAAAATTGATTACCTTTTCCTAAGTACAGAAGCATTTCCTCTGTAAAGATGTTCATGGCCTCATCTCGCCCTCCTTCTGCACTGTTGTCCTCAGTCACTTAGTCAAAATAAGCTCCCTGCGCAGAGGTCTGGCCTTACTGACCTCAGCCTCCCACCTGCCACCTGCCGCCCAGGCCACTGTGGTGTACTTCTTGAGCACCCTTTGAGAAATGCTGCCCTTGGGTGCTGTTTTATTTAGCTCAGCTGGTTCTCCTTCCCCGACAAACCTACTGCCCATGGGACCTGAGTTTTGCTTTCCAGAGTATTGAGTGCGCTGTCTAAAGCCATTTGCCAGGTGTGGTGCTATTATCCTAGCACTTGGGAGGCTGAGGCAGGAGGATTGCTGCAAGTGCAAGGCCAGTATCCTGGATTATATAGTAAGACCCCATCTCAAAATAAAAAAGCAGCAACCAAAAAAAGCCATGTTTACAGTCCAGCCACAGCACATGAGCCTCCAGATCGGGCTGTTGAGTTCTCACTCTGCAGTGTGTATGTCCATTGTGGGTATCCTTCATCAGAGAGGTCCTGTCCTGGCTAGGAATCTGCTTTCAGCGATATGCCCACTGTGTTGGGTAACGTTTGGAAGTGGCCGTGACAGAGTGAAAAAGTTCTGTTGATGTCATTTCACTTTGTAAACATTTTGTGTTCTGATAAGATTGAGAGTCAAGACCGGAAGCCCTGTATATGTGGGAAATCGTCTGTCTTGCAGAAGCTGCACAGCGCATTGCATGCTCATTGTTAATGTGCTTTCCCAGTGTACCCCAGTCCCAAAGGCAGCCCCCTGAGTGGAGCACTTGCTTCTCAGGCTGCAGTCTTCAGACGCCGTGGACTAGGAGTGCCACTGACCCTAGTTATACTGGCATGCCTGCCTCAGTGACCGAGCTGTTCACTGAACATACTGGTCACGAATGGAGGAGTTGTACAGCGTCTGTACATCACAGCATTCAGGGCAAAGAAGTGGTCAGAGGAAACTCCAACTTGATGACTTTGTTTTGATTTGTATCACTCAATACTGTAATGTGTAGCAGAGCCTAGAACTATAGCATTGAGCTGTATAGTACAATCAACAGAATTGACAGTACTGTGTAAACAGTGTGCTGTACATAAAAGACATTGAGGTTCTATAAACAGGTACAGAGCTGTACTAAAGAAAAGTCAGGTGGTTAAGTATGAACAGGTAGGTCGTTAACAAGGAATAAGGAGTATCTGTGGTAACAAGTTTGCTTCTTTCTGTTTATTCTTTGCAAATTAAGAAAATAGTAGTGTCCAGGTGAGGCAGTGTCCTTTGGGTGCCATTATGTTTCATCTTGCTGCTCAGCATAATTGTGATCTGTCCTCCTCCAAGAACTTTGTGTTGTTTTGTACCAGATTGAGCCCCTTGCCCCACCTAGGATGTCCAGATGAATGAAGACTCAACTCAAGAGACCGTGTTTAGGTCCCTGTCCTCCTCCTGTCCGCTGACGGCACATAACTGCCCTTCCCCAGGAAAGACTTCTGAAGGCCCTTTCCAGGTGCATTGTATTCAGGCCGTTTTTGAGCATTATGATTTCTTTTCTTGAAACATGTGCCTGAAAAAAAAATCAGAGCCTTATGATACACCTGAAGGCATCTTTATTTATGCACTAACAATTAATCATAAGGTTTGTGACTGTTCCTTAACTTTAAACTTACAGCCTCTTTCAAATATGAAATAGCAAATTGCTCCAGGTCTGTTGAAAAATTTGACTGATTCTGAAATGTGCATCTTAGCATGAATGAAATTTGTAGATTTTGTTTACTGGGAGGAAGTATTGAAAACTCCCAGAGAGGTTTTTAAAAGTTTATAGTCCACAGTTATCTTTTGTTATTTGGGGACCAATGGGGGTTTGAATCAGGCAAAATAGCATTTATTTTTATGACAAATTTATTTCAGTTCTATCTTCTGAGAAGTATTTCTTAGTTTCCTAGAGAGTTGAAGATAAGGACAGACTTCTGTTTTTCATAACCCCAATTAAATATAATTTTATAGGTATTAATTATTTTCAGCAAATTAGCATAGAAATGATAGCCTAATTAGGAAAAGAATTTTTTTCAGTTTTCAAAGAGAAAATGACTACTTATTTGTACTTTCATAGTCAGTAGATTTATAGTCTTAATAGAATATTTACTAACCATTTTCTTTCTAACCAGGACAAGAGTATCAGAGAATTGAGTTCGGTGTCAATGAAGTAATTGACCCAAGTGACACTCTGCCGAGAGCCCCCAGCTACAGTATTTCAAGCACATTGAACCCTCAGGCCCCTGAATTTATTCTTGGTTGTACAGCTTCCAAAAAGACCCCCGACGGACTAGACCAGGAAGTGAACTCCAGCTCCCTTGACCGCCCGTACCCGGGCCCAGCCCTGGCCTTAGACGGGAGCTCGCACACCGAGGCAGAGGCTCTGGAGAGCGCTGGTGGCCCAGGTGGCCTGGGACAGAGGGAGCGGAAAAGGAAGAAGAAGCGGCCACCAGGGTATTACAGTTACCTGAAGGATGGCGGTGACGACAGGATTTCCACAGAAGCTCTGGTCAATGGCCATGCCAACTCAGCTGGCCCCGGTGGAGTGGGCACCGAGGATGCAGAGTTTATGGGTGACCTGCTCCCACCAGTTTCGCCCAGGACTTGTGACAGCCCTCAGAACTCCACGGACTTCATCAGTGACTCTGTGCCTGACAGTCCTTTCCCTGGAGCGCTCGACAGTGCCGCCAGGACTGTGGGGCAGCCTGAGGGCTGCCGTGGGCCTGACTTTGAGCAAGCCTGCTTCCCTGCAGAGCACCTGCTAAGGACAGCTGTGGCTCCCCCCTGCGCTGCTAGCGATACTACTGAGAACCTTGGCGTCACCAATGGACAAGTACTTGAATCCTCATGTGTGGGCACAGCTGCCAACGGGGAGCTGCACACTGTGGAGAGCTCAGACTCAGATGCAGCCAGGCTGGAACGCGCATCACCTCCTGCCGACAGTGCCCTCTCCGCACCCATTCCCGTTAACCAGCCCGCCAAGTCCTGGGCCAGCCTCTTTCACGATGCTAAGCCCTCCTCCTCCTCACCCGTGGCTTATGTGGAAACTAAGTGTTCCCCTCCTGCCCTGTCTCCCCTGGTCTCTGAAAAGCAGGTTGAAGTCAAAGAAGGGCTCGTTCCAGTTTCAGAGGATCCTGTAGCCATACAGATCGCAGGTACAGTGGACCGGGTCAAAGCTGAGCACAGAGCTCAGGCAGCTGGCTGGCGGGAAGTTGAGGCAGGCGGGGCTTGCGCAGTGGTGACAGATGGTGCCATAGGGACAAGTCACCGGGGTGCGAATGGGAATGGCTGAAGGGTGCCTATGTCTTAGACATGGTCTAACCGGAAACAATGTAGAAACCAAATCCATTTCTATCACGAGTCCTTTTCTGCTAACAAATTCCATTTCTCTTTCTTGTCCCTTGTTTAAGTAACTGTGCCACTCACTGTTTGTATAATGAACCTGTTGTGTGTCACAGTTGTATACTTTCAGTGTGATAGTCCCTGTTTGTATTCACTTTGTACTGTTGCTTTTTCATATTTCTCAAGCTGTAAGAATGCATTTGTGATTCATGTAGGGTTTTTATTTTTTAATAACTATTTTGGGTTGAATAGATGGGTTTTGGTTTTTTTTTTTTCTTGGTACCGGGATTGAACTCAGGTCCTTGGGCTTGCAAGGCAGGCCACCGAACCACTGAGCTAAATCCCCGGCCCTGAATAGATGGGTTTTATTCAGTGTTTTAGTACACCAGGGTCAGCTCTTAACAACAAAAGGAAATTTATAAAATTTCACTCTAATGTTAACATCTTATTTTAATTAACAATAAAAAGGCAAAGCAGCATAGTGCATAGGTTGTGTTTGAAGTGAGGTAGGGAACCAGCTGCTCAGGGCTCTGTGTTTCTCCACACTTAAGAAGTGAAGGCTGGCAGGAGTGTGCTGTAGTCAACTCTCCGACTGCTCTCTGGTTTACACTCACATGTGTCAGCAGCCAGCTGCAAATCACTGTTGTGGGTGGGCAGTTCCATCAGAAATAAAACACATTCTTCTGGTGGAGGTGGGATGACAAGTACTTTTTTTTAAAGCATTCCTTATACATAGTATGGTATTTTGAATCTTGGTTTTCTGGTGTCTTTTAAAATGAGGAAATAACGGGCAACCATTGTTATTTTGAGTTTTATATATATTTTTAAAAGCCAAGTGCTTTCCTTAATAATATGTAAAATATTTTAGAATGTATTCGTTGTAAGGGCCCACTGTTACAGTCAGGATAAGGTGGTGTATACGTCCATGGATAGATTAATGTGTCACAGGTTTATTTTTAACCATTAAGAAGTTCATTGTGGAATACCATGTACTGTCAGTTCCTTCAAGACAGCATTGTAATTATGCTTTACTCCTAGAAGTCACTCCTCAAAGGAAAACTACATCCCTAGGAAATTTTCTCTGTTTAAAATAAGAAAGAAAAACTTCACTTTAAAAGTTTTAAGACATTCTTGTATAACTCTAAATGTGATTTGCTGCATAGTTTGCTGCGTTCTGTGTACATTATAATCTAATGGGGTTGAAATGAGTGTGTTAGCACACTCCTGTAATCCCAGCACTCTTGGAGGCTGAGGCAGGAAGATCAGGAGTTCAAGCCTAGCACAGGTAATTTAGCAACACTCTATCTCAAAATTTAGAAAAGGGCTGCAGATTCAGGTCAGTGCCAAGTCACCATGTCATTCCCCAGCACCCCGCCCCCCAAGACAGAAAAAAAAAAGGTTTTGAGACACTGATAGTGGGGCTTTCTGCTGGCTGACCTATGCAGGAGGAGCCTTGCCCCTAGCCCCGCGTGCTCTTAGTGGGTGCTAGTCACGCCCTCCCCCAGTACATGTGTGTTCATACTGCATGTGCTGTGCTGTGCTGACTGACAGCCTGCAGACCCACTGTGATTGCTCTCCTGTGACGGGCAGGGTGCCAGCACCCTTCACTGTGGGTGGTATAGGCTAAGGGAAGCTGTTCTGTTGGAGTTTTTCCCTTTTCAAATCTTATTCTTACGGATTTACTTTATTAAAATGATAAAACATTATTTCTTCTAAGATGCAATACTGCACAGTCCCTTCGAGGGGCATGTTTTTAAGTATGGACCTACTTATTTTAAGCAACAGCTGAGTGAAATTCTGATTCCACTGAAAGATCTATTGATGTTGGTTACAATAGAATTTGACTTGCACTAGAGTCTAACTGGTTCTACTGAGAGAATGGCTTTTTTTTTGGATGGTGATGGTACTGGCGATTAACAGCCCATTTTTATTTTATTTTATTTTTTTAAATTTTGAGATGCGAGTCTAAAAGTCACAATACTGTCCAGGCTTGGCTTTAACTTCCTGTGTGATTGGTTGGTTGGCTATTTTTTTTTGTTTTGTTTGTTTTAGTTTTCAACAGGGTCTGGGTATTCAGGCTGGCCTCTAAACTCAGTGATCCTCCTGCCTCGGCCTTTCAAGTGCCAGGATTGCAGGCTGCAGCCGTGGCTGTGTCTGGCCCAGGGGTGTGCTCGAGAGGCTGCCTGGCGTGCGGTGTGTGGCACTGTGCTGTGGCCTCCCTGTTTAGCACAGGGTCCAGAGCAGCCTCGATGCTTCACTGTCATGTTCATTACTCAGGTTTGTGGGCGTGGGCGTCTTCTGAGTTTTCACTGAGGAGCAGACACTGCATCCTGAACTGAGCTACATCAACCGCTGTCGACATGCAGAAGGAGCTGTTTGTATTTGATGCTTCAAAATCAGTGTGTCTTTTGTTGTTTGTTTGTTTTTGTAGTGTGGCTTTTTTTTTTTTTTTTTGAGACAGGATCTCACTATGTAGTTGATCCTGACCTGGAACTATGTAGCCCAGGCTGGTCTCTAACTCACAGTGCTCCTCCTGCCTCAGCCTCCCAAGTGCTGGGGTTACAGGCGTGAGCCACCATGCCCGGCTAGTGTGGCTTGTTTGAAAGGAGTTAAATAATGCTGGTCGGGGAGCGAAACTAGGCCAAGTCCCCGAGTACAGTAAAATGCCACTGTAAGAGAACGAGGCAGGCAGGTTTTACAGGGTGTCACACAGTCCTCGGGTCTGGAAGTGGCTGCACAGAAGAATGAGTCTCCCCGTCCACGTGTGTAGACGTGTGAAGGGAGACATGTCCTAAGGCTGTTCTTGTTTTTGAGACAGGGTCTTGCTGTGTAGTCCAGGAACTCGCAGCAGTGCTCCTGCCTCAGCCTCCTGAGTGCTGGGATCACAGGTGTGTGTCACCACGCCCTGCCCTAAGACGGCTGTGTGGTTTGGTGGTTCATCTGTCATAGGTACTTGCCCTCCTCCACGGGAAATGATCCTTGGCTATTTTGTATTTCCTGTTAAACTCCCAAGTAGCATAGTGATGATGATGTCATGTGCTGGAGTTAGTGCAGCCCCACCTCCCTGGACTACTCCTTCCCAGCTGGCCTGCTCACTGGCCTCTGAGAACCCGAAGACAGTCTGTAGCCGTGGTGGCAGTACATCTTGGACACTTCGCTGTCCTCCACCCGAAGAGGCAACCAGTGTAGCAGCCTGTGTTCTTGCCCAGCGGTGATAATAAGCAAGGGAGGGAGGCTGCAGGAGAGCACAGAATGCCAGCTCCAGGCAGTTACCAGGCCCTGAGAACGAGTGAGCTTCATCTCTAGCCCCATATTCCATTTTAGTTATTAAAGTCCACTGGAGAGTTTTCCTAAGTGACAGTAATTATCAAGGAAAATCCAGATGGTCAGTATCTCTCCCATTATGTGTGTGGAGATTTCTTCTGCACTTAAGGATGTTGTACCAGAGTGCTCCTTCCGGAGGGTGCTAAGGCTTGAGAGGAGCTGCCTGAGCACCTTTTCTCACTGAGTGAGTGGCCTTTTCATCCTGCTTAGCCCTGAGTTTTTACCTTTGCTCTGGAAGTTGTCTTTGTGGAGGTCCTGTTTGCAGTTACGGAACAGACTGCTAGAGGGTGCTACAAGATTTAGACGGAAGATTTTAGAGTGAAGCTGCGGGGTTTTTTTTTTTTTTTTTTTTTTATGGGTAGGTCTACAAGGGACCTCACACCTCCAGAATGGTACAATAATGAGTGTATGTGTGTTTTTTTTTTTTTTTTTTTTTGGGTACCACAGATTGAACTCAGGTCCTTATGCTTGCAGGGCAGGCAGGGGCACCACTGAGCTAAATCCCAGGCCTTGAAGCTGTTTTTTTTATCTGCCTGTTCCTCACATCAGCATACAGAAGCCACTGTGGGTGGGTTCCAGGGAAGGGGTGGTGTAGAAGCAGTGGCTATCCGACCTGCGTACACTTTCTCCAAGTAAATGCTGGAAAGAAAGCTTCCAAAGCTGCCTCTAGGTTAGGTCATCCCCTGGCTCCTCTGGCTGGAATACTGCAGCTGCCAGTTGTCTAGGCTTTTACCTGCCTCAGCCACTGAAGAGCACGTGGAGCCCCATGCCCAGGTGGCCGTAGGGCGGCCAGGCCTCGATGGTTTGTACCGGCGTCCCTTTGGGGAGGGATCAGCTTTGTCAGAAGTGGTTTTTCCTGTAACTAAAACTGAGTCCAAAGTGCTCTGGACTATTTGTGATCAAGTTTTTTATCTTTTTGAGCCAAACGTGGCGGTGTAGCTCTGATACCGACACTCTGGGAGGCTCAGTCAGGAGGGTCACAAATCTGAGCCCAAATGTGGCAGCTTTGACTGAGCAAGACCCTGTTTCAAAATAAAAATGGGTGGGAGTCTATTTCAGGACTGAAGGCCCTGGTTTCAATTCCAGTACTGCAAAAACAACAAAACCAACTCGACCTAGGCGAAGGGCTTGAGACGGAGCTCTGCCTGGCCCTGGTTGGCTCCTTTTTGTTTCCCATCAGTGTCTGTGCTGCACCAGAACACATCCCTCAGTCCCCCTGCACACAGACTGCCCATCTTATCAGCAGAACTGGGGGTCCTTCTCCCACCACATGCTCCCACCCAGGCCTTGTTCCCAGATCCTTCCTCCCGTGGCCTTGACTGCTGAGCTGTCTGTATTCACATCCCTTGGCCTTGGAAAACATTGCTCCTCTCAGGGCCTGTGTGTGCCTGTGGGCGGGGAGAACTGAACTCACAGTCCGAGAGGATTAGCACACGCATGCTGGTGTCCTCGCAGTACTTCTGCCAGCCCCTGTGATGAACCCACTGTCACCTTGTCACGCAAGTACAGCACGATCTCTCCTGCCAGGCCTGTGCTCTGTGCCGTGCATGTTCTTGGCTGCCCTCAGCCTCTGGCTGGCCTGCACTTTGTTTTTGCAGCCTCTGGATGGCTCTGTGCCCCCCCATGGGCAGGACGCTGGGTCTCTCTTGTCACTGGTCTGTGAGCTGCCCAAGAGCAGGGCTACCACATGGCTGCTTATGCCCGGCAGCTCAGCAAGTGTCCTTCAGCTGACAGCGGAAGACAGGGAGTCATTTAACAGAGCCCCTCTGGTAGGAAGGCCGGTAGCTTTACATCTTATCTTAATGATTGCACGAAAACTTAATTGTTAGATGTAAAAAATACTGTAGCAGGTTGTGGCTATGATGGTGCCATGGGAGGTTGTGCCACTGTGCTAGAATTCGTCTGTGTTGGAAAACACACAGGTTTGTGGTGACTCTGTTGAATACTTGCTGTCCTGTAGCATGGACCAGAAATTATAGACTGCTGTAGTATAGCTCAAAGACAAGTGTAGAAATCCCATATAAGAAGAAGACCTTACTTAGGCCGGTGGCCAATAGCAGGTGATTGAAACCTTAGCATAAAGAGTTTTTAAGTGGAATCCAGTATATATCGGGGAAGGAAGTGTATGTGGCCTCTGGACTCAGTTAGATCCCGGCTCACAGGTTGGTTTGGTTACGTGACCTCAGTTTTCTTATCTGTGAAGTGGGATCAATCGTGGTGCCTCTGACAGGGCTGTGAGTGATAATTATGAATATTGTGGGTGAAGCTCCACATGAAGCTCTTGTCTCCCCTTCCCACGCACTCAGGCCCCGTCTCCTTGGCAGTCACCAGGCGTGATCTTGGGGTTCAGTTCTGTGACATACCTGTGTCCAGGAGGGCCATGTGAAAATTATTCCCTATACTTCCTCAGAAGAGGGAGGAGTGTGCTGTTTCTGCTGGAGTGGTGCAGACACGTTTCTGCATCTCACTTGTGCGTAAACCCAAGACCTGCCATTGCTCTGGCGTGAGGAAAGGAAGGCTTTCTCGCCGTGCCTCGATGGATGCTCCCGTCATGTATGCCCAGTCACATTTCTTTCCCACTGTGCCCCTTAGCAGCCAGAGAGGCAGGGAAGTGTGGTCCAGACCGGGCCTGGTCATGCCGCCCACACCCTGCAGCTCACAGCGAGGAAAGCATCTCGGATGGCTGTTAGTGTAAAGCGATGTTCAGAGCCCTAAGACTGGAGGAGAGCCATCCTTGTTTGCGGGGGAATCTGAGGATACAGAGTCTGCTTTCCATGAAGAGATGACAGTGTATGAAACAGTCGCCAGGTTGGAGTCTGATGGAAAAGCACAATAATTATAGGAGACGCTTGTCTCCAAAGCACTGTCTTAGTGAGCAGCCAGCGAGCACCCCTTGATGTGGGGCGTGGCGTTGGCTGCTAGGGATTCAGAGGTGGACTCAGATTCCACACAGAAGCCCTTTTGTGCAGTGTCCGAGGGAGCTGCTTGTCACCACCAGGGCAGGCCCTGTTGCCAGCACTGCGGGAGCCGCCTGCAGCGTCAGTCTGTTCTGCAGCATCGGCACCCTGGAGTTTGTTTCTCCTTAAAACTGGCACTTCCATTCCCATAGGAAGATAAATAAATGTTAGCATTTGCTGGGAAATACACATTTTTATCATTAATGTATTTGACAGAATTGAATGAAGATTTAGCAATGTGGATTTTCTTCGGATATGTGCTTTTTTGAAGGGAGTGCTAACAGTCTCCCAGACCTAGCGCATTTCGATGGACTTAAATGTTATTAACTTCTTAAATGTGCTTCTTCACTCTTTCAGAGTTACTGGAGAATGTAACCCTAATACATAAGCCAGTGTCATTGCAACCCCGTGGGCTGATCAATAAAGGAAACTGGTGCTACATTAATGCTGTATCCTTCTTGCACGCTGTCCCTGGGGCCAGCTCACTGAAGCGGTGACCTCTTTGGCTGCTTTGGCTTGGTGCAGCTTCCACAAGGCCACTAGCCTGAATGTTGAAGCAAAAAAAAGAGGTTCAGTACTTGCTCTGTCCATTTCGCTTATGGACAGGATTATTCTGACCCCAGCTTCTCCAAACCTGCACAAAAAGAGGATTTGTGACCTGAATGACAGAAGCAGGCAAGTTTTATTCACATTAGCATGTTGCCAGATAACAGGGCAGAGTGGCCACTTGGGGCTGGAAATTTTGTTCTGACCGATTGGTGATTTGGATGCATCTAGTACTTAAATGTAACCCTGACCACACAGCAGATCCTCATGCGGATGTTGTTGTATATTGTCAGGTATTATTCTGCCCGTTAACGATTTATTCCTTTTTGTGTTACTTATCTAAGTAGTTCAGTGTCCTTGACCTGTGTAGGTTTTGTTTTTTTTTCATTTTTTTGAGACGGTCTCTTTATTTGGTCCTTTATTTGTACTGGCTACATAACGCAGACTGGCCTTACGTTTGTGATCCTCCCGCCTCAGCCTCATGAGTGCCAGGATCACAGACCTGACCGCCACATTCAGCTTGAGCTTTATTTGCTGTGCTGAATGTGCCCTGGGAGTTGGCTGTGCCTGTTGCATTCCTTCACATTCCTTACTGCCCAACGTTTAGACTCTGCAGGCGTTGGTCGCTTGCCCTCCGATGTACCACCTCATGAAGTTCATTCCTCTGTACTCCAAGGTGCAGAGGCCTTGCACGTCGACGCCCATGATAGATAGCTTGTAAGTAAGACACTTAATGCGTGTGGAGGGGAGGGCTTTCCCCTCAGAATTAGAACTGGAATGGTTCAGCAAAGCTCTCGACTTCCTACAAATGAGTTCTATGGTTCTTTTCCAGAAATGTGCTGTTCTTGGTTTTATTGGAAGTTAACAAAAATGGAATTGCAACAGTTTGTGTTCTCTAGATTCAGTAGAAAACATTGTAGTGTGTAACTGGTGTAAAATATATTGAAAGTGTACGTGGACAGGCATAAGAACTCACCAGTCATTACAGTGCTGGTCGCTACCATCTGCCGAGGTCATCGTAGCTAATATTCTACTTAGGGCAAGGCTGCTGAGGGAGAGCGTGTCTTTTCTAAAGTGTCCTGCTTCCCTTTCCCCGAATCTAGTGTTCGGCTAATGAACGAGTTTACTAACATGCCTGTGCCTCCGAAACCTCGCCAAGGTGAGTGAAAACGGGGTCTTGTGCTGCCGCTGCATGTTGGGAATCATGGAGTTACTAGCTGTCACCAGATGCGGTGAATTCAGCCTTGTTGGTGACCACACTTGTGCTTTAGCCTCCAGGGGCGGGGGTGAAGATGGGAGTGATTCTATCACTTACGATGTCCTTTTAGATAGGAAACTCTGTGTCCTGTTCCTGCTGTAGCTCTTGGAGATAAAATCGTGCGGGACATCCGGCCTGGAGCTGCCTTCGAACCCACGTACATTTACAGACTGCTGACCGTCATCAAGTCAAGCCTGTCCGAAAAGGTCTGGGCCTGCGCCGACAAGGCAAACGGAAAATACTGCCTTTGCCTGTCTTTGTCCGGTAGCGGGTGCTGGGTTAGCATCCGCTGTTTGTCTCCAGTGCTCTAATTTGGTGTGTGTTCAGGACTGAAGCCTAGGTTGACAGTGGAGTCCCTCGATCACATGAATTGAGGCTGTGACAGTCCTCATGACTGGGCCCAGCTCACATGACATCCACTGTGCACCATGTATTGTTCTAAGCACCAGCCCCGTGAGCGAAGTGTGATTACTGAGGCCTCGTTAGAGTCCACAGAGGTGAAGCCGTCATTGGGGTCACACCCCCGTCAGTGCCTGAACCCCTTCCCAGCACTGCCTTGCGGTTGGAATGGAGTGTTGCCGTGTTCAGTGCTCAGGCTGTAACAGCTGTTGGATGTCCTTGGCTCATGGTTTAAGTTTTTCATCCTACACTTTGATACCCGAGGCATGGCACCGACCAGCAGGGGTCCTTACTGATGGCCCTGACGCCTCCCACGTGGAACAAGTCCCCCTTAGCACAGCTAGCGGCAGTGTTTTCTTTGCTGGTGGAGGTGGCGATGAGCCTGTACAAGCAGTTGAGGTCATGCTTAGGGACACACAATCAGAGGAAGCACAGTGGAGAAAATGCCATTTAAACGAGTGGAGTCCTGTTGAAATGGCACGCTCTGGAGAAGGAGGAGTGTCCAGAGACCTCCAGGGCCAGCCCAAATGCTCCTAACATAGTTTTGTGTTGAGTTGGATTTGTTGCCCAGGTAACAGGAGATGCGCAGTGTTTGTTAGGGACAGGAAAATGCAGTAAAGCTGCCCTGTCTGCCAGGCGCTCACCTCTGTGGCTGGGTGGACACGGCCACGAGCACAGATGACAGACAGCCATGTGCAAGCAGGGCGAAGGCTACCAGTTCAGGGGCCAAGATGGGGGAGCTTGGGGAGGGCTTCCTGAGCTGAGCCCTCTGAGGCTGGGCCCCAAAGCGGTGCTGAGATCAGCAGTATCTTTTAAGTGACTCCGTGTGTTGGGGTCCCCAAGAACACCCTCAGGCTTGGTGACTAGGACTCAGACTGGTACCCCTGTGGTTCTTTCTGGTTTATTACAGCAGACGGATCTACAGCAAATCGCAATAGGGAAACCCACGTGGGCGCCATCTGGAGGGCTCCCTGGTTTTTAAATCCCTGGAGCTGCCCTGCAGTGCAAGACTCCCCAACATCACACTGACAGCAGGTGTGGGGTTGGCCTCCCAGGGATGCACTGGAGACTCAGATCCCCCTGCCTAGTTTGAACCTATTTTCTGAATGTCAAGAAGGTAGACAGAGCTTCAGCCAGAACCACATGGCTCCTTCAATGTAGGCACAGTTCCTTATCAGTTCATATGGTGGGAATCTTTTAAAATCCAAATTCCCAGACATACTCCAAGGCCATTGCTAAGAGGGTGGCCCTGGCTCACCTGGTGTCCAGTTTGCCCTCACCACACATGTGTGGTGCCTGCCCACTCAGCTGTCTGTGGCTGGGTCCATTTGGAGAGAGCAGATCGCCAGGTACAGTCTGTCCACCCAGCAACCTGGAGCGGAACAGCATGTGGACTCGGGCCAGGCAAGTGTGCTCCGTCTCTATGAGTCAGCCACGCAAGCCAGCAAGCCGCTGGAGAGCCGACGTGAGCCTCCGTGCCGTCCGTGCCATGTGTGTGCACGCGCGTGTAACACGGTCAGCTTCCCCACACACAGTCCAGTCCTGTCCCCAGTGGCCGCACGGGGTTGTCAGTGCACAGCTGCTGTGGGTGTGTGCGGGGAAGGCCTGCACAGTGTGCTCTTGGTCACTCAGAAGCGATTGTTAAGTAACCTTACTACTATTAGGAAGGAACATATATGTATTATAAGAAAAACTTTAAATACAGAAAAATAAAAAAAATAATTCCCAGAACTCCTAGAGCTAAGTACTGAACGTGTTCTTCCCTCTGCTTCCCCCAAGAGCTCAGCATTCCAGAGAAGCCCTCCTGGCAGTTTTAGAGCTGCTTTACATTTAACCCTGAGAGTTTCAGCAGCAGTGGATGCGCCATGGTCCCGGGGGCCTGGGCAGTGGTCACTCAGTCGTGTTTGTCCTCGTCCTCACTAGGGTCGACAGGAAGACGCTGAGGAGTATCTGGGATTCATCCTGAATGGCCTGCATGAGGAGATGCTGAGCCTGAAGAAGCTTCTCTCTCCCGACAGTGAAAGTAGGTTCTCTGTGTGCACACTGGGCCGGGCCATCCTCCTCTAAGTTTTGTTTTAAACAAAGGTGGCAGCTCATCCTGTGTTTTTACCTCTCTCCTTCCAACGCTCGTCTGCCCATCAGAAATCCTCCTTTCCTTCCTGAGATGACACCAATTACCTTTACACTGCTCATTCGATACCCTTGATAATGTTTCATTTGGCTAAATTGAAGTTTATCCAGAGACTCTACTGTTGATTCCTTCAGCCTTAATTCAGAAACGTTCACGGATACAGAAAAGCAGGAAGAATGGTTTGTGGAATCCCCTTGTGACTGCGGGAGTCTGCATTCCTGGCATATCCTCATTATCTGTTTCCACATACGTACACACAGAGTGTGTTTACATTTCCCCGGGATGATTCAAAGTGAAGTTGCAGAGGAGTGGAGTTGGCCCCTCTGTGCTAAAGCGAGCACCCTCACCCTGAGGGTAAGGGCCTCGCCCACAGAACCGCAGCCCCTGATCTAGCACAGGCTTCTGACACTGCCTCCCTGTGCTCCTCACAGGCTCTGCCCGTTCCGAGGACATCTTTCACAGCGAGTCTAGGGACACTGCCCTTGCAGCATGGCTCACTGAGACTCAGTGTAGAATGTACCCCAAGTCTGTGGAGTGTGGTTGACACATCGGTCCCCGGTTCGCCTCAGGCCTGGCTCGTTTGTGTGATCTTGTGTTCTTATCAGGAGTCACCTAAGCAGACCTTTTCGTTTCAGAGCTCACAGTTTCCAATGGGCCCAGAAGCCCCTTGGCCAACAATGAAGAGCCTCAAGAGCAAGGCGAAGGCAGCGAGGAGGAGTGGGAGCAAGTGGGCCCCAGGAACAAGACGTCGGTCACCCGCCAGGCGGATTTCGTTCAGACCCCAATCACTGGCATTTTTGGCGGACACATCAGGTTTATGATTTTCTGGAATAATTAGTATTTGCCCATTCTAGGGTTGACCATCGTGCTAGCCAAGGAGGCGTGAGTACGGTCCTGACACCTTGGGCCCTGGCATAATTGCCTGCTATGGGCTGGTCCTCCTGCTGCTCGCTGGACGCGTCCCCAGTGCTGAGGGCCACAGTGTCTCTCCAGCCTCAGTTGCTCACTGTTGCAAATTGAGAGCAAAGCAAGCTAACTGAACTGTTAAAAGAGAAATTCCCAGAGCCGTGGGGCCATTTCGTGTATTTTATTAGAGTCTGCAACATGAAGTTATGGCACTCAGATGGTTTCCACAGAGAAGCAGGCGGCATGGCCTTTATCTCACATAATTACCCTTCTTGTGTTGATACTACTTGTCCCTGAAGTCTGTGCCCAGGAGCGGCTCATCATTGCTGAGCTTCCCGGCCGGAGACACCCACGTGAAGGTCCCCTGGCTCCTGTTCCCACTGCTGTATTCTGCTTGCAAACCAGGCCACTGAGGCTGCCAGCACAGACTTCCCTCAGCTCCGAGTGTCTTTGCTGAGGCTGAACGAGAAGTGCCAAATGTAAAATATTTTACTCAGAAAAACTTAGAAACCAGCTAAGAAAACAAGGCTGGACTGGAAGGGTAGCAGTCTGTCTTCCTGGAAGACAACTTGTTTTTTATTCTCCACACCCTGTCCCCCCTCGTCTGCATGTCATTTTGTAGGGGGAAAATGCCGTTAAAAATAATGTCTACCTTGGGATTTCCTCTATTTTATTAGAATAGGCCACAATACTTTGAAAAAATGAAAAGTGTCAGCAGTTTGAGGCCATGGCAAGATGGTCACACTTATTAACTGGTACACTGCATCATAGTGTGGCATGACGGTTCAGGAATTTGGAAGATGAAATGTTTTCTTCCAGAGCACCCAAGTGAGGATATATCAACGGGCAGATTTACTTGCTAATACTGAGCAGGTAGTGTTCAGCAGGTATTTTACAATTCAGTATATTTTTGGCTTTTCTGTTGTCTCTAATCTTCTGAAAGTGACACTGAAAAATCTGATTTTCAGTGTTTATTCCTCTTCTGTTGGTTAATCTTAAGGGAGAGTAGCAAGGAGTGGGCTCTTAAATTGTTTTTGCTTTCAATTCCTAGGTCAGTGGTTTACCAGCAGAGTTCAAAAGAGTCTGCCACGCTGCAGCCATTTTTCACGTTGCAGCTGGATATCCAGTCTGACAAGATACGCACTGTGCAGGACGCGCTGGAGAGCTTGGTGGCGAGAGAATCTGTCCAGGGTTACACCACCAAAACCAAGCAAGAGGTGCGGCCCGGCTGGTTTGCAGCTTCAGTCCCAAGCCATTCTGGGTAGATGGGAAGAACACAGGATTAAGGGCGAGGGGAAGTGCTTAATTTGTTTGAATGGAACATGGGCATGATTTTAGCCGAGCATAGTCAGAGAGATGACCCAGCCAGCACTCAGCTGTCAGCATAGGGCGGGGCTTGGGTCGGTGATCCTGAGCTGCATGTCCACTTCTGGCATCTAATCACGGTTTCACGAAGTCAGCACCACCTCTGAGTAGTTTCTTTTGTAGTCACGGTTTGTGGCAGTTTATTAGATTAGTCAGGGCCTCTCAATACATCTGTTTTGCATTTGATTATAGATCTTCAAGGACATTAAGGATAGAAAGTCATTGTTCAGATGCTGGTTGCCCTTCCATTTGATGTGAAGGAGTGCGTCTTTGAGTCTCTTGTTCATGAGCTAAGGGTAGCGGGTTCCGGCTTGGGTCTCGGCCAGCATCCAGGAAAGACGGTCCGCTCTGCCGCTGTGCAGAGGTTGTCCCCTGTGACCTGGGCCATGCAGAGAGCCCTGTCATGTTGGGAGGAGGCGCTTTCCTGTGGAGATTTGTGTGAACAGCTCGTGGCTCCTCATGCCATGGCCAGGCGGTGTGTCCTGTCCTGTGACTCGCACTGAATGGAGGAGGGCAGTGGGGACCTGTGACCAGTGCAGCTGGCCCTCTCACTCCACTCTTAACCGACCAGCCCGCTCTCATTGGGCCTCGCTGTGCATTGTGTGTTTAGATTTGCTTCTTAGGGATTCCGCCACAGGAAGCCAGCCGCTGAGAAGTGAACAGGCGGAGAAGGGTCGGGAGGGTGGTGGCAGTTAGGTTTGTGTCTGACTCTGGGTGACAGCTCGGCGTGCCTGTCGTAGCTGTGACTCCTGAGACAGATTGCTATCCCTGGCGCTTTCGTGCCCCTCCCCATGCTGCTCATTGAGCCAGCTGCAGCCAGCTCGGGCCTCTTGTCCTGCTGGCACATCACCAACCTTGCCTGCGGCGGCTAGGAGGGCCCTTCTGGGTGTGTTTGTTCTGTTGCCATTAAACACTGATCTGGTGGGGCTGGGCGGGGTGAAGGTGGCTGTGCGTCTGTGGTGCCAGCGGCAAGGAGGGCGACTGTTCCACCCAGCAGGACTGGGGTGGCTTCCCCCGGAGGACGGGAAGCAGCGCTGTCACTGTTCTAATCCTGTGCCTGTGGGACTCCCAGGCCAGTCAGGAGCACCAGAGAACAGATGTCCCAGGGAGGAAGAGTGGACACATGGCCTCTCTACAAAGGCCTGGAAAAAACAGCACAGTATTTTCTTCAATGTAACTTTTTAAATTTTCCTTTTAAAAATACCAAACTATATGTTACTATATTTTAGGGGAAAAACTTATTTTCTGGGGGAACATGTGAAGGCAGGTCCACGGGAATGTGTCCACTGTGTGGAAAATGTGAGCCTGGGCCGGGGATGTACCTTGGTACAGTACCTGCCTGGCAAAGCTTGAGACCCAGGGTTAGACTACCAGTATCAAAAAAAAGGAGAATGTCAGAGTCTGCTGTAAATGGGACAGTGGGCCCCATTGGCTTTGTCTGGAACCAGCGGCATATGGGAGAGTTTCCAGTCGGCCACTCTGGGAACTGCTGGGCTTCAGGTTGAAGTCTGTGCTTAGAGCTGAACAGACCCTTGAGATAGCGGGGTCCTGGTCTCTGGCGCACCTTCGTGAGCTCACAGGTTCTCGATGGACACAGGGAAGCACAAGGCGTTGGTGCCCCTGGGGCCTGACTGGAGGGAAGGCAGGCTTGGTAAGGCGCTGAGCTCAGGGCATGCCGGTGCTGCCTCCCATGCCTGCCTTGCCCAGGTGAATGCTGCTTCGTGCACCTCCAGCCAGATGTGTGCCCAGTCCCTGAAGGGTGTGCTTCTCGCTGTGTTGCTGTCTTTAGATCGTTAGTTTAAAGACTATTTCTATCAAAAGAATTCTCTAAGTCAATAACGGGGTTTTTTGTTTGTTCGTTTTGAGATGAGGGCTTGTTACATAGCCCAGGCTGGCCTCGAACTCATGGCGATCCTCCACCCTCAGCCTCCCAACTGCTGAGATCACAGCTGTGCATCACTGCACCCTGCCCAGCACCACAGACTTTTAAGCAAAGATTGACACAGACACATTTTACTTTCAAAAACCTGGCTAAAAAAAAAAAGCAAGCAGCATTCATCAGACCTATGAGAGTACTTCAGGACGTATTAAATTGATAAAACAGTTATAAAACTGAAAAGGGGGGCTGAAGGGCTTTGGGGTTATTTAAAACATCTGATTGAAAAAAAACATTGCCATCAGCTTTATCAATCGCAGGAGAGTACGGAAACATAGGTTGGCTCCCACTGAGTTGGCTTTTCCTTCTGACACTGGCCGCAGAGCACAGCTCTCCCCTGGAGTGTGTGGCAACTCAGGCCCTGGGGCTGCCTGGCTTGTGAGGGGCCCTGCATCCCTGCGCCGGGCGCAGAGGGTGGAGGGCCACTGCAGGCTCTCGCCAAGGCGGCGGGTGGACGGGCACTGCTCTGGTCGGGCAGGTCAGCACGTCCCGATGTGCCGTGCCCCAGGTGGAGATCAGCCGGCGGGTGACTCTGGAGAAGCTGCCTCCTGTCCTTGTGCTGCACCTGAAGCGCTTTGTGTACGAGAAGACTGGCGGCTGCCAGAAGCTGGTCAAGAACATCGACTACCCCGTGGACTTGGAGATCAGCAAGGGTAAGGGAAGCCCTGCCAGCCAGCCTCAGCCCTCTGCTTGGCTTCTCTCGTTTTAAACTTCTTGACTTTGAGAGTCTTTGATAGTTAATATCCTTAAAGTGGCTTTTTAAAAATGAAAATGAACAAACCCTATAATTTTGCTAGATCAGAAAAATAGAAGCTTTTGTCCCTCAAAAAGAGCACTGTACTTCATTCAGCAAGTGTCTTATGAATTGGTGGGTAATGCTTGTCCTGGACTAGGTCCCGGCCACTGTGCTCAGCAGCCGGCTGGGCGGCAGTGGGAGTTTCTCCACGACAGTGACACTCGTGCTGTGTGCGTAGCACTTTGTCACCCACACGTGTCCACGCGCAGCCAGGCATGCTGGTTTTAGTGTGCTGTGGCGCGGCTGTCTTTCTGAGCACAGCTTGGGGCTCCTGTTCAGAGGCAGGGCTCTGCCCCAGCCTGAGGGAGGCCCCGGGCCCGTCCTGCTGCCGAGCAGATAAAACACAGCTTAAGGAGACATTTTTCTCTCGAAAGCTTCAGAATTTGTGGCAAACATAAAGGTGAGGCTTGACGGAGAATGGGGCACGCCCGAGGGGCGCCAGAATGGCATGGGTCTGGGGCCAGAGAGGAGGGCTGGCAGCCTCGCTGGGTCCTGCCAAGGAAGTAGCCCAGCTCCGCTCTTCCCTGCCGACCCCACGGGCCACACCGTGCTTCCGCCCTTCCCGCCAGCGGTCCCCGTGTGTAGCAGCGGCTCCAGCCTGCTCCCATGTCCTTGTCCCCTGCCTCAGCCTGAGCAGTGCAGGGGCCGTCAGAGTGGCATCGTGTGGTGCATGTTCCTTCATGCTCTGCTTTGCCTCTGGGAGCCCTGAGCGCCGACAAGGTCCAGAACGGCCTTGACCTGACTCCCTGACTCCCGCCACTCACCCCACTCATCCTATGCGGCTCCCACCCCCGAGGGCACGGCTGGGAAGGTGTGGAGAAGGCGCCCGTGGCTGTGAGCTCTTCCTGAGGCTTTGGTTCTTCAGTCTCCCAGGATGTTTGGCGTGCGCAGCCCTTTTCTTTTCCATATTTTAGAGCATCTGTTTCTCAGGTGCTTCCAGCGTGAGCTCCTCAGTGCTATGTTGGATCGGCTGTGGACCGTGTCACCACGCCGCACACTAGCGTCCCTCCGCCGGGCTGTGGAGGTGGCCACGCTCCTCCTTGAGCCGAGGCTGGCACTGGTTGTGCACTTGAGTTACTCAGAACTTTTCTAAGTCCTTTTATAAATGGGTTCCGTTGATGTTTTGTTTTTCAGAACTGCTTTCTCCAGGGGTTAAAAACAAGAATTTTAAATGCCATAGGACCTACAGGCTCTTTGCAGGTAGGTAACTTTGTACAGTACTGCTTCCTTGTTAAAGCAATGAGAAATGAGTTCACACCGAGGCACATTTAAGCCGTACTATACTTCACATGGAGAATGGTGCGCTGTGCAGAGCGTGCCTCTGAACCTTGTAACCAGGAAACCTGCTGAGAGTCTCTCCTGAATCTGAGTACCTAGCATGTACCGAGCACCAGCTGACCCTGAGCTGGCCCAAGGCCTCACCAGCAGTGAGTCAGCAGCACAGGTGCCCGTGGGGTGACCTCTGGACACCAGCCGAGTTAGAACGCATCCCAAACCATGTCCCTGTGTCCCCTCATTTGTGGCACAGGTCCTTCGGCTGCCACACTCCCTGAAGTCTGGCAGCAGGGCAAAAGTCGCACACCCATGGCCAGACAGGCGGGCCTGAGGCCTCGCTCCTCCTGGCCCAGAGCTTCCCACCATGTTGGGGTTTCTTCCAGACTTTCTACCTTTTCCTTCCGTCTTTCTGTCCAGGTGGCCCTAGTCTTAATGCCATTGACGCCTCATATGTCCTTGATGGTGGCCATCTGCAGCAGTTTTGTTTGCTTTTCTGTCTGTGTTTCTTAGTTCTCTAGCTTCTCCTTCATGTCGTACTGTGTTGCTTCTGGTGAACCTGTTTGTATTTAAAAACAAGCCTGCCACTTATGGCTCTTGCACCTTCATTGACCCTTTCAGTGCCTGTCTTGCTCCCAGGAGCCATCCTGAGAGGCGGGTGTGGTTCCCTTTATGAAAGGATTGCCCAGACTCACCGAGAAGTCACTCTTCTGTGGCCTGCAGTGGCCGGGCAGGGCTGTCAGACTCCTATCTACCTCAGCGGCTCCTGGGCTCCTAAGAATGTGATTGGCCCCTGGCCTGCTAGTATAGGCCTGGGCCTCATGAGAAAGCTCCCTGTCTCTTTTCTTTCCAGGCACTGCTTCTTTTCTGACTTTCTCCTCTCCAGCAGGCCAGCTGATCACAGCCCCTCCCCGCTGGTGGCCCTAAACAGGATGGCAGAAGATACTCTGATGGGGGTCTCTGTCCGCCCCCAGCCTGCCTTGAGCGTGGTCCCAGGCAGAGTTAGGGAGCCCTTGTCTGGGTCCTAGGCCCTGGATGAGTCCACACCCTCCCCACCTCTTCTGCATCCCAGTCTCGAGTCTTGTCCTGGAAATAAGGTCACTGGGCTGCTTAGAATTCTCTGTAAAATATCAGTAAAGAAATAGTTTTTTTTTTTTGATGGTTCTGATTATGGGACTGAGGAAAAATAATGTGCATTCTCAAAAACGAAACTTTGGAAAACTTTCACAGACTGGTTCTCAGTTGTGGTCCTGTCAGTGGGCTTGCCAGGGAGGTGGCACAGGGCTGCAGTGCCCGTTGGCTGCTCTGAAGAGGCCGGGTGCAGGGCACACAGCTCTGCTGAAGCTTCAGTGCGACCGTGTCTTGGGAACACGGACCCCCAGCCTCTGACCCTGGCGTCCTGCCACACGGCCACTCAGAACTGCAGCTTTAGCTTGGAGCTGGAAAGGAGGACAGAGTCCCACGGCGAACCTGGGGTCCCTTTGGCAGTCACTGGATCCCTGCAGCCCTCATGGGCACACCCCTGGCACCCCCAGAGCCTTGTGGCCCGGGAACAACACTGCCTCTTGGCCACACAGGCGCTGTGGTCCCTGTGTGGGCTTGCCCTGGTGTCATGCATTCATCTGGCACCTGCGGTGACGTCTCAGCCCCGGGGCTTGTCCCCCAGACTCGCCCAGGTCCAAGTGCCCGTCCACGGCTCTGCTTCTGCCGTGGAGAAGGGCACATCACCCAGTGGGCCTGTTGGCTGAAGCCTCGGCCAAGGCTTCTTGGTGGGTTGGGCTACATGATTTTGGGGGAGGGGGTACCTGGGATCAAACTTGGGACCTTGAGCTTGCGAGGCAGGTGGCAGAACCACTGAGCTAACTCCCCAGCCCTGGCTGCAGGATTTTTAAATAAGTAAATAACAAGTGGTTTTTTGTTTTTTTTTTTTTTTTTTTTTTTTTTTTGGTACCAGGGATTGAACTTGGGTCCTTGCGCTTGCAAGGCAGGCCTCTGAACCGCTGAGCTAAATCCCCGGCCCACAAGTGGTATTTTTATCTCTTAAGACATCGCTGTAGGAAATTGGCACTGCCTCTGGGGTCCTCACGGCTCCGTGCCCCCTCCCACAGGCCCTGCTCCAGCCCCCACCGGCCCTGGCTCTCCTCGCCCTGCGGAGCAGGAGGGTGAGCTCAGAGCCACATTGTCCCTGAGAGCCCCTCGAGCCTCATCGTTCCACCTTGCTGCGGAGAGCCAGGGACCTGGCCTGGGTGGAGGGGCCGCCTCAGCCCTTCTCATGCTTTCTACCTGAGTAGGCAGCACCACCCAAGGCCAAGCAGTTCCAGCATGGTCTGTCCATCAGCCTCCTTCCCTCCACTAAGCAAAGTCTTCATCCTTCCAGGTTTTTTTTTTTTTTTTAGAGACAGGGTCTCACTCTGTAGTTGATACTGACCTGGAACTCACTATATAGCCCAGGCTGGTCACAGTGATCCTCCTGCCTCAGCCTCCCGAGTTGTTGGGATTACACCCAGCGTGTGCCACCACGCCCGGCTTGATATTTCCATTTTTCACTGTCAATGCTGCCCTGACCTTGGACTAGGATTCACATGGTGTCTTGAGGATAGCGGAGGAGTGGAGTTGGCCGCAGGGCAGGTTGGGGTGTGTGGGCATCCCAAGGGTTGGTGTGGCTGTGGAGGTCTCAGTGAGGCTCGGTGTTTTCAGAGTTCTTACCATGCGTGTGTAAGAGGAGGAGTCTTACCTAAGTACACCCACAAAATGTGTACATACACATAAATGTAGACTCAGGTGCATCCGTCTGTGAAAGATCTGTCTAACCAGCTTCGTGTTGCAAGCGCCCACCGCGGCCTCTTGTGGCCGCACCCCTTCCTGGAGGCTCCTGCACAGGCACCCTCACAGCCCTCGGCTCCCTCTTGCAGTGGTCTACCATCACGGCAACAGTGCCACAGGCGGGCACTACACCACAGACGTCTTCCAGATCGGGCTCAATGGCTGGCTGCGCATCGACGACCACACCGTCAAGGTGATCCAGCAGTACCAGGTGGTGAGGCCCGTAGCCGAGCGCACCGCCTACCTCCTGTATTACCGCCGCGTGGACCTTCTGTGAGCCCTGTGCCGGCTGTGTGCCTGATCTGCTTCGTAGAGCTCCAGCTCACCGACTTCCTGCCTCTAGTGGCTCCTTAGGGAGAAACTCCCTTCTGCAAAACTGGGCTAGCATGGAAAGATGCCGTGGGATTTGTGTGCAGCATAGTTTATGTTGACGTCTTACTTCCAATCAAAATCATTCGGTTGAAACAGACTGTTGCTTGATTTAAGAAAATACACTAAAACCCATAATTCTGAAATGATGCTGATTCCTGATAGAAGAAAGGGAAACTTGCATTTGATTCCCAGTGTAATTGCTTAGTAGAATAAATCTACACCAGCAACTCTTGTAAATTTGTGAAAATGAATTTTATCTTTCCTTAAAAAATAAATTTTTTAATCCACCACACTTTCCTCCCCTACCCTTTAGTTTTTGATAAATGATTAAAAAATGAGCCAGTTATCAGAGAAGAAATAGTTCTTACTTCAAAAGAAAAATAAACACAAAATAGAAGTTGCTGGTTCCTAACAGGAAAAATACATTTTAATAATTGTGCAACGAGACACTGCTTACGTACGTACGTGTTGCAGATCAGATCTTTAGAGTTAAACTATGTTAGCATAGATGGGTGATTGTAACTTTGTTGTCATTGAAGATCTCAAATTGCTCTCATGCTTCCGTGTACACATTATGAAACGAAGTGCAGGTGAAACCCTGAGGTTGGTACTTCCTGGCGCCCGCGCACATTCTGCTGTCTGCCCCTCTGATGCTGCGCCCTACTTGTACACAGTGATACCCAGGAGTATGAAGTTGTCGCCCATCAATAAAATCACAGAGTTGGTTTCAAGCAGTGCGTGTCTGTGTGAGTGTCCTTCTGGTGGCGGGTCTGTGGGCGGTGTCCCCTGCGGGGCCCTGGGGCTGGACTGGGATGAGGGTCCCCCACTGCCCTTCTTGGGCAAGGAAGCTCAAGTCCTCAGATTGCAGGCACAGGCATCTCCTTTTTTCCTCTTTCCATTGTTTCCGTACCCTGGAAGTTTCAGAACCACTGGGAATGGTTTTCCATAAAGGCCAAACATCCTTATGGGGCAGCTCCTGGCTCGGGGGAGCTCTGGACAGAGGAGACAGAGAGAAGACAGCTCAGACGAGGTAGGGCACCTGAGGTGGGCTCCCAGCCGCCTGCCCCCTGCCCCCACCACATCTCAGTGCAGTTGGAGCCTTTTTCTCTAGCTTTCCCTCATACCATCTGGCATTACTAATCATAGCTTTGTGCCACTCGTGTGGGAAAAAAGCTTTGTCAACTTGGAGTACTAACGTCATCCACTTAGCCTGCTAACCTGATCGTCACCCAGTTGTGGTTCACTCGGCTGAGTTACAGTCGTATCATAATCAGCTTCTATTTACCATAATGTACAATTCCTATGGAACATAGGGGGCTTGGAAGCCAAAGGAACTTTAGGGGAAGCAACCCATACCCACAGTAACCCTGCCAAATGCAATAGAACCCTCCTTCTCAAGCACTTGGGGCCTGTTGTGGTGGCTCATGCCTTAATCCCAGCACTTGGGAGGCTGAGGCAGGAGGATTGCCCGGAATACGAGGCAAGCCTGAACTACAAAGTGAGACCATCTCAAAAAACCAAAAACAAAGTTTTTGGTTGAGTTCTGGATTGTGTCTGACCCTGACTAAGGTCTGCTCCCGTGCCGTGGCTGCCTGTCCACTGCGGTGTGTGCCTGCCGTTGGTGTGTGTGGTGACTGTCTCTGCGTGCCCCTCTCTAGAGCAGGGCCATCTGACCTGGGAGTGCCGACAGGAAGCATACATCCTGTGTGTTTAGATGTCTACCTTCCCGTCTGAGTATCGTCGTTGTCAATAATGGGCGATGCAGCATGTCCCTGGCCGTCCCTACACCACCCAGCTTGAGACTGTGTGCATGTCAGGCGGAAGCTGTCCAGTCTGGCACTGCCTGTAGGGTGGGCGCCCTGCTGCAGACAGGAGAGGAGCTCAGGGGCAGAATGCACCACGGCAGTGGCCCAGGGCTAGAGAAGCAGGTGACTCGTGACCACCCCTTTTCCAGAGTCCTGAGGGGGGCAGCCTGGCACCATTGAGACTGCACTCAAAGCATCCCGTTTTGTTCTGGAACACTTAGTAGCCTTAGACTGCTTCTACACTCAGAGCTTGGCCCGTTAGCCCTGGGGTCGTGGTTATAGATGCAGCAACTTCCCCTCTGGTTACTTGAGCTGCTTCTCTGGGGGCAGAGCCTTAAAGGAAAGCCCCAGGGAGCAAGCAGGTGTCCCCTGCGGGGATGGTGACCTCGCTGTGCTGTCTGCATAGTCCCCGAGAGGCCCAGGGGGCCAGGCTGCTTTCTTTTCTCTGTGCTTTGTCACGTCAGCGTGGGCCACAGCCCGGCAGGATGCACAGGAACTGCTCTCGGCACCCGTCATTTGGTAACGTTTCCTCTCTTGCTGAGCTTTCTGCTTACTGTTGCCAAAGGTGGCTGACTGGTTAGAAAACAGCCAGTCTTGCTTTTGAATTAGCGAAGTTGCTCTTTCAAAGTAGTCGGTGCAGTGCAGTATCGTGGGGCTGGAGACAGATTTGCCTGAGTCAGTGATAAGGCAGCGGCGGCCTGCGGTCTGCTGACTTCTCTGCAAGTGTTTAGTCGTCCAGAAGTGAGCCCGCCCGGACGGAAGCAGGAGACACGGCCTCTCCACTTCTGTTGACTGTCCAGTTTGCTGAGCATCCCTGATTTAAGAGCACCGGGCAGCCTGTTGGTGGTGTCAGTCACCCCATCTGACCAGGCCAGGTGTGGGCAGCCGACTGTGATGCCCTGAGAAAGTCACCAGGCAAATGGGCGCTTCCCTCTCGCTCCCGGGAGTTGCTTTTGTGTTCAGTGGTGTTCGGCTTGGGGAGCCTGCGCTCAGAGGAACAAACGCCCCTTCCCCTCTTCTGATCTTTCCCCTCTCTCCTTGTCTTCCTGCCAACAAAACACATGGCCGTCCTATTACTCTGATTTGTCCGTGTGGGATTTTAGTGGGGTTTGGACTCTGTGGTTGCGCTCGCTTTTGCCGCCGTGGCTGTGTGCGCTGCAGTCTTTATTCGGGTCGTCTGCTCCGCCGCAGCGTGTGTCCGGCTGTCACATTTGTGGGGGCGGCCTGTCCCTGCAGTCGCGCACAGCCCTTGGCCTCGCCCTGCGCACTTCCTCCTCCCCCCACACGTCCTTGTTCATTCTGCTTGTCCCGAGGGCCGGCTCGGGCTTGTGCCCACCGCACCGCTCGTTTCTGCCCCTGATCTGGTTGCCGAGAGATCCACACCCCAGTCTCTCTTCACCACCTGCAGCAACAATAGACCGGGGCCCTGCTGAGAAGGCAGCCCCTCCAGGCTTCTGCCCGGCGACGACGAGACGTCCGGCTTACATGGTTCTGAAAGGTGGGCCTTTGCTCTTCAGCAAGCGGCTGCAAGCTCTCCCTGACATGTCGGGTGCCAGGCAGGGGTCCCCAGTGCCTCAGTCACTCGGATGCAGCCCTGTGCTGACGGAGGCCTGAGCGGAGCACATCTGTGGTGTGTGGTCCTGAGCTGTGCTCCCTGCGGGTCCCGTGTCGCCTTCCTGTCGTCTTGGTTCGTACAGTCCTCCCCAGCTGGGTGAGGGGACTGGCTGAGGCCGGGCAGGGAGGCAGATGCCCAGGCGGGGGGAAGGGGGGTGTAGAGGAAAGACCAACGGGGGAGCGAGGCTGGCCGTGGTGGCCACGCTGTACCCTCCGTTGTCAGGCCAACCCCTGAAATCTGCTTCCTGACCCCTCACCCTCTGGTCCCCATTTCTCTTTGGGAATTTGTATTTGAAGTGGTTGCCTGTGACGAACCTTATGCTCAGGTCTACAGGGCCTGAAGGCTGCACTGTGGCAACCAGCTTGCCTTCAACCTCTGACTCTGCCACAGCGTCCTGGTCTTGGTAGTCCCGGTGGCCACAGTTCAGCAACAGGAACCAAACAGAAAGCAGAACCCACTTTAAGGCATTAGGATAAAGGGGCAGAAGGCCAGGTGTGGTGACACATGCCTGTCATCCAGCACTCCGAAGGTTGAGGCAGGAGGATTGCCACGACTTTGAGGCCAACTTGGGCTTTACCCTGAGTTGTAAGTTCAAGACCAGTGTGAACTACATAAAGAAAAAAAAAAAAAAAAAAAAAAAAAAG